CCCCATGTTAGCCACATCCCTGGAGCCACGAGGGGACACAGAGCCCCTGACCGCGTCTGCTCCCAACGCCCTGGTGATGTCGTCAGCACAATTAATGCCATTTTACGAGGTCAGTAGCCATTCCCTGTGACCCAGCAGGTCACGTATTTGTCCCCTGTCCCTGGGGGGCGAGGGGGGCAGCCCGGTGATGGGGATGTCCCCAGCACAGAGCCCCGTCCCTGCTGGCTGCATGAGCACAGCCCAGCATCTCCCATCACAACACACTCCCCGAGGAGCTGTATTTTTTAAAATACTTTATTTCTTTTTTTTTTTTTTTTGAAGAAAAAAAAAAAGAAGCAAAAAAAAAAGAAAAAAAAAAAGAAAAAAATTACAAAAAATCCCCACTATAAAACATTCAGGTCTCATTGAAACCGAGAGAAACAAAGCAGCTTGCATCTGCGCGCTGGCCTGTCTTCTCGATCGCCGTGTCCACCAGGTTTTTCTCTGCGTCTCGAACTCCACAGGGACCAGGGGAGGGAACTGTCAGTATCCCCTCACCGGCCAAGCCGGGCAATTAATTAATTAAGCAGTGCCTAACAGCTCTCCTCGCCCTGTATGATACACTGTACAGCTGTACACCCAGCCCCCATGGATGCCCCGCACTAGACCCCCCCTGCCCCAAGAGATCCCCTATTTAAAAGTCAGTGACTTTTTTTTTTTTTAATAAAAAAAAAATGTATTCCCGGGGCGGGGGGAATATTTTGGCAGGGTTTTTTTTCTTGGCGGTGCTGTGGTGGAAGAGGAGCTGTACACAGCCGGGTGGAACGCGCCTCCCACTCTGTAGGAGCTCTTTCTCGGGAAAAAAAAAAAGCCCAAAAAAAAAAAAAAAAAAACCTGGCAAGAGGCAGAGTGGGCCGAGAAAGGTAAGAAATATAAAAAGTCTCCTGATGGAAATCCGAAGGTTTTAAAAAAATACAGCATTTGAAAACGAAGCCACCAAGCAGACTGCCTCATGCGCCTCCCAGCTCCACCCTGACGCCCAGAAAGATCTCCTGAATGAATCGTCCCTGTAGAAAAATATATACACGTGCCTTTCTCTTCTTATTAAAAACCCTAAGGTCGAACTCAAACGCTAGTGAAACCCACAGCTCTGCTCACGCTTGGCTCCGCTTTTGCACCCAGACTTGTGCTACACACCCCCTACACCCCCGCACTGCGACGGGCTTGGTGTTTGTGTGGCTGAACCATCTTTTCCCCTCAAAAGACAAAAAATTTAAAAAAAAGAAGTCAGGGTGCACCACGCCAGGAATCCCAAAATGGGCAGAGAAAAAAAAAAAAAAACCCTTGCAGAGTTTATCTAACGAGCTCTATATATATGTATTTATAAAAGCAGCAATGCAAAACTCAACACATCTGAACAAGAAGAAAGCTCCAGCCTGGGCTTCTCCCCCACCTCCTGCGGCTGGCTGGGGCAGCGGGGACAGCCCCGGGCAGGGGCAGGAGGATGGAGGGGACCGTCCCCACGGCGTTTGGCACAGCCGAGGCTCGGTTGTGTAGGCTTGGCACAGGAGTGAGGGCCACGGCCGGACTCGGTACCGCGGTCCCGGGTGAGAAACAGTCCAGCTACGGGGTGGCGGAGTCGTGGGGGAGGCCACCGCGACCAGCGCCGCGGGACAACCGGGGACCCCGAAGAGCAGCAAGTATCAAAGAGGGGAAGAGGAAAAAAAAAAAAACAAACCAAAAAAAAACCTAACAGCGGGGACGCCAGAACCTGCGGAGTCCTATTTACATGGCGCCGGACCCCGACAAGTCCAGCTTTTCGTGGGGAAAAGTGGCCTGAAAAGCAGGTGACATAAAAACCCACAACGTGACGCGCCTCCCCGGGGGCCAAAGGGCCCACCTCCTGCCCCGGCTTGTGCCAGGTGGAAAAGCTGGACCTTCCGGGGAAAAAAAAAAAACCAAAAACCATAGTCCAGCAGCTGGGAGAGCTCTGATGGGCAGGAGCCTCCCAGCTGCTGGAGTAGAAAACAGGCCAAGAGGGATGGATGGGATGGGATGGATGGGGGGGAAGGCGGGTTGGGTGGGATTTTTGGGGAAGGGAAGTGGTGTGATGGGATGGTTGTTTGTTTTTTTTTTGTTTTGTTTTGTTGTTGTTTTTTCTTTTTTGCATTCGGAAGTGCTGTGGCACCTGTGCTCCATGTGGGCCAGGTGCTGCGGCACGTGCGTTTGGAGTATTGCTGCTTGGAGGAGAGTTTCTCCCCCCGGGGGGTCTCTAGGAGCACGGGAGGTGCTGCTTGAGGATCTGTCTCGTCTGGGGAGCTATTCTGTCCGGGAAGCGGATTTTGAACTCCACGATCAAGTCTCCTCGCTGGCTGGGGGCCTTGGGGAAGGGCAGCCCCTCCCCACGCAGTCTCTTGACCGTCCCCGGCTTGATGATGTCGTTGCAGGGCAGCGGGATCACCCGCCCGTCGATGGTGGGAATGTTCACAGTGCAGCCGCACAAGGCCTGGGGGGAGAAGAGGGGACAGGCCATCAGACAAGGCTGGAGGGGGACACCCCAAAACATCCCACCCGCCACAACCCGGACCCTCCACCAGCTGGGTTTGACCACCCTGGGTGATGCCCAAGAGCATGGGGTGATCCTCACCAGTGTAAGGTCAGGTCTCTGCTGGTGCCAGCCCAGTCCAACCACATCGACTGGGCTGCTGGAGGGGTTGCTCCAGGCCCGGGGAGACCCAACTTCATGGGGGGAAGGACCTCCCCAGCTCCTGGGCTCCCCAGGAGGCACCGCCAGCAAGCGCCCAGCCACTCACAGCAACAGGACAGGCTAAATTTAGCCCCTTTCCCTTCCCCGGCCTCACCACCACCAACCCCGGGCAGCCCAAAAGAAAACCCAGCTGAGATCATCGGATGCCGCCGCGGTCCATCAGCTGTCACCCTCCGCAGCCCGGCAGCTCTGCCCAGAGCTGGGGGTTATCTATAGCACAGCCCGCCTCACAGCCTCCCCCCACCATCCCAAAAAGTGCCCCCCAACAAAGAAGTCTATGCTGGTGTGGGACAGCACCCAGCTTCCCTAGAAGCTGGGGGTCTCAGAAGGGCTGGTCCCCATTGGGAAGCCAAGAAGAGGTGGTTTTGGGGGGTTGCCCCCCCTCCCCCCCGGCAGCAGCACCCCTGTAGCCGCAGGGTGGCCTGCCTGAGCCGGCCACGTGACGCGGGAATGCAGCAAAGAAAATCCTTGTGTCCTTAAATAACTCAGACAGCTCTGGCGTACACGTGGGCAGGACTGTCTCCAGGCTTTCGGCAAAGGCTGAGGGAGAGAATTGCGGAGCGATGCTTCTGGAAGAGGCTGGGGAGGGGGGG